TTCAGCAGCAGGCGCCCTGCAGGCCATTACCTGGAAGCCAATGGGAACAGAACCTTCCATACTTACCCAGGTGGACAGTCCCCGGGAACTCAAGGTAGGAGCTCTGGCCAAAGCTGTTTACAGCTGACACACGGAACTGGAAGTCCCCCTCCTCAGCCACACAGTCCACAGTCAGCTCAGGTGTAGCCACCCACTCGGCCACATGGCATCGGCTCCAGGTGTAGGTGCCCAATCGCTTCTTCTCCACCACGTAGCCATCAATGGTGACAGGGCGGTCCCCATGGGGTGGGGACCAACTGAGAGTCACGGAACTCTCTGTCTTGGCCTTCACCACAGGGGCCTCAGGGGTGTGTGGTGGTGGCTTCCTGGGGGCTGGGCAGAGCACAGGTCCTTGTCACCAACTGGGAGCCCCTCCCTGACCCCAGATCCAGGATCACCCTGGAGGAGAGCGGCACAGAATCTCCAGCCCTCCTAGGGGGCACTGCTCTGATGGTCTGAAATGGCCACAGCCAAGGTGGAAGGCCAGCCTGAGGGGAAGCTGTAGGCCCATGATCCCTGGTCCCAACCTGTGACCATTTCTCTAGTTGTAGGAGCCACATTGGGCCCAGGGCCACCATAAGCTTGCCATGTGGTTTGGGGACAGACACCTTCCAGTTCAGTGCATTGGGGTCTTGGCTAGACAGTGGCTGAAGCAGGGCACAGTGACCCTCCTGAGGTGCTGGGGCCCTATGGAGTGGCATCCCCCTGCCCCCAGCCAAAAGTTAGCCCTGTTGAGGGAGGGCAGGAGTGGGAGGGAACCACTGCTCAATCTACAATGTAATACTAAAGACCACAGAGAGAAGACATTCACACAGGACAACCACACACACACACACACACACACACACACACACACAGAACCACACACTGTGCTTCTAGAACAATCTGCACCTCTAATTTGGTTGGTAGGATGAGAGGCTACCAAGTCTCCCATTTTGTCAACACCTGGGGAGCCCAGAATGGGGGATGGCTGCAAACATCTGTGGGTCTGAGGGTACCAGAACTACAGCCTGAACGCAATGAGCCCCACACCCTTCCTGCAGCTACTGAGCACATGTGGGCCAGCCCTGGGTCCAGAGCACGGATGGTGACAAGGGGCACCTCTTCCATTGGAGAGGTACTCCAGGCCCTTACCTGACACCAAGAACTGAGTGGACGTCCGGCAGTCCCCAGCCACAAAGGCCACCTCACCCACATCCTCCAGGCTGCACTTGGAGATGGTCAGCGTGTGGCATGTGCCTTCAGTGGTGATGGCTACTCGGCCCCCGGCCACCACCTCCTCATGATTCCGAAGCCAGTGGACTGGGCCCTCTGGCCTGGCCAGCTCTACGCAGAACATGGCAGTGTCCCCCACTCGCACCACTGTCTTTCTCGGGAGCTTTCGGGTGAGGTTGCCTAGGATGGCCAGAGCCAGGGGTTAATCAAACCGGACAGCCTGCCCCCCTCCAGTTTCATGGACCCCCCTGTTGTGTTGCCCACCCACCTTGTACTGCGAGCTCGGCCACCGTGCGGCTGCCCTCAGCCATCTCACAGATGTACACCGCGTCATCGTCAGTGGAAGCATTGTGGACAGTGAGCCGGCGCTCTGTGCCCGCCTCCTCGATGGCATACTTGGTGCTGGCCCACAGCCGTGTCTCTTCCTTGTACCACACGGCCTCCGTGGTCGGCAGCGGCACCTCACACTGAAACGTGGCCGACCCCTTCTCCTGCACCTCCAGGTCCTGCAGCCTCATCTTGAAGGGCACTGTGGGCTCTGAGGGGAGAGGGCTGATGAGCAGGGCAGGGTGGCTGGGCAGGGAAAGAAAGGGGGTACTTGGCTGGGGGCACCTGGAGTGTGGTGGGTGGCACAGGGAGAGCAAGTAGGTGCTGAGGTGGGGGCAGAAGTCCCAGCAGGGGTTGGAGGGGCTGCAGGGCAAGGGTGAGTGAGAGAACTGGAGAGGGGCAGGGAGAGGAGACAGAAATTAAAGAAAAGAGCCCCTGCCCCCAAATAGAAGCAGTCTGGAAAGAGAAAGAAGAATAAAGGCAGGTGAAGCTACAGCCTTCAGCGCTGGAACAGGTCCTGCCAGAGCCCTAGGCAAGACAGCAAGACCAAGACCCACTGGCCAAGGCCCGCCATGGCGCCACACGCATCTTCTCCCTGTAGCTTCCTCAGGGACCCTCGTGGTGGAGGGGCATTTACTCCACAGAACGAGGAAACTGGGGCATGAGCAGGAAGATCCATGCACCCTGTTCAAATCCTACCGTGGTTGAGATGTGTAATAGGGTGGAGCTGGGACCCTCAGCACTCCAGAGGCTGGTGTTAGGAGGGAATAATAAAGGGGCCTCCCAACAAAACCTGACGGGGTTGCCCACACCTGCCCAGGCCTGGACGAGAGCCTGCAAACTGCCTCAGAGCCACCTCAGGCTGCATGCAGCCACTGGGCCCAAGCCCTCCAAAGCACAAGGGTTTGTCCCCGCCCCTGCCCTCCTTCCCTCTCTGTCAGGGAGACACAGCCCCTTAGCGTCCAGGGGAGAGTGATGCCTGGCTCACCCTCACTCTGCACAGGGCAGGCTCAGCTACCAGGCATTCGGAGCGGCTCCCATGGGGAGGGGGTGCTGGTGACAAAGCACTTTCTTCTTTACTCTTGTGACTCACAAAGACAGGGGACAGGCTGAGGGGACAGGCATTTTGTGGGCTGGTTAAAGACAGAGCTGTCAGGACTTCCAACTCCGAATCCACTACTGGACAGACAGGGAGGAGCCTAGCTTGCGTTCCCGGCAGTGACTTCGGCAGGTGTGCGGGGCAGGTGCCCAGCTCACCTCGCACAACGACCAGCACGGAGCTGTAGGTCTGGCCCACGAGGTTGGACGCTGTGCACGTGTAGAGGCCACGGTCCGACTGCTTGCAGAAGAGGATCTTGAGCACAAAGTTTTCCTGCGCGTCCTCGTACACCAGGTGTCGCCGGCCCTCGGCCACCAGCTGCCCATCCTTCTTCCACACGGTCTCGGGCTTGGGCTCGCCCGTCACGTAGCAGCTGAGGCGCGCGTGCTTGCCCTCG